TTTCGTAATCAAATTTTGTTTTAATTTTTAAAAAAATCCGGTTTGAAGTGGAGTAGCACCATCTTGGCCTGGCAAAGGTGTAGTTGTACTGTAATTAAGTAGCCCATTAGCGGCGGGGTGTCAAACCCGCAAGTGTACAGCCTTCAAGCTGCAGTTTCATACTAGTACATGTAATGGTACGATGGCGCTGAAGCCTTGGTATGCTCGCTACAGCGGTCCGTCACAAATTGCAATTATCCAGCAAGTGCTCCTAACGTGCTAGATTTGTATTGCCCTTTATTCGATAAGACGCAATGATTCCGGACTGTTCCGGAAATCACTTGGAAGGCTAAACACCTAGCCCTAGTGCGATAAGATTGGCTAAATCCATGAATTTTGGTTCCTTTTTGTAGTCTCATTGGTGCGCTCAAATTTTAACCTTCTAAGAGGGCTCGGGTCTCCGGACCGAAGGGACTTGTGGTGTAGCGGGATCAGCAAAATCTGCGAGATTGCCGGATCCAGCTTACCAACTGCACCCAGACACCGACTAACGGAGGGGGTCCCCCGATGATCCGTGTTCTGCTGAACTTTCCTCACCTTGTGTACCCGTAGGTAGGGCGGGATCTTGCTCTCTCGGTAACTTCCGAAGAGTTCAAGTGGTGAAGCTTGAGCGTCTTGGCGAGACGTGGGGATGGGGTGGAGCAGCAGTGGAAAATCTTCACTCTGCGTCCGTGGATGGCTCCGAATCCTAAGCGAATATTCGAGCTTATGGATCCGGGGCCTAGATCGTGGATCTGGCCGTAGGGTTGCCTTGCGGGTGTGTTCCCTTGCCTTTGTAGTTCCTTTGCGTCGTACTTGCCGCCTCCTGTGACGGGATCTTGAAAGTTGAGAACCTCTAGGGTGTAACCGACCAAGTAGTAAATTCGGTTAGCCTGTCGGATCTGCACAAGTAAAGGAAAAGCTCACTAGGTTGTAGGATCTGGCCAATGTATTATCCAGTTATCACTACCAACACTAGATTCGCAATTTCCAACCTTCTCGGAGCTCGTACGGCCAATGTAGCTCCGGTTCTTAAGGGCAGGAAGGCACTTGCGTGTTACTGTGCAAATTGAGGACTGTATTGATATTTAAGCCTATACCTGCCTGGATTTCTGCCTTCTATGTCTTTCATCTGCTAAATCCCTTACCAGGCTCGGCTGCATGTCCCTTCTTCCCTTGACCCATCATCCCAGCTGTATTATCTTCAGATCCACCGGATCCATGACGTAATCATCATGGTCACCCTATTATGGGTACACTCATCCGGATCCAGGTCGCTCGGATCCACTTCACTGTAAGTTTGCACTCGTCGTCGATCTGAGCTCTTTCATCATCCAACATCATCTCGCAACCGTCTGTGATCTCCATTGTCCCACGAAAGTTCGAGATCCACTGTATCCATCATCCCTATACCCTGGATCCAGGTCCCTCCAGGCGGGATCCTCCCTCCTTGGATCCGAACTCGGAAGTATGGGATCCGGGGTACCTCGCGGTGGATCTTGACTCTTCATTAGCCGTGGCTACTAGATCCACCTTCAGAGGGCACCGACCATCCTTTCTTCATAGGATCCACACTCGATCCACTCTTGTATAGTATATCCCATATCCATCTTAGTGAATCCAGGTAAGGGTGGATCCGAGGTAAGTATTGGTGGATCTTGCCTTTTCGTACGTCGCTCATATCAGATCCATCGTCATTCCATACGGGGTGCTGCTCGCCATGGCTAATCCACCACAGGCAACTTGCATCCGTGCCAGCCAACCCAAATCCTCTCTAATCACTTGAAATTGTCACTGATTCGGGATAGTGACCCCGCGTCAGGCCCATTCTCTTATTTCTGAAAAAGCACTTCACCACAATCGCCTCCTGTACGTTGTCGGCGCTGCACAACAGCGTTCACGGCGTGCATTACTAGCATCCACAACCGCTTTCTCCCCTTCGCGACACATGTCTCCCGCCAAGCGTACCGGCAAATCGTCGGGCAAGGCCCCATCCACTACCCCTCCGGTCAGTCCGTCTTCTATGTCGCCCACCGATCTGCGGGTTCTAGCCCAGGCTCTTTCCGATCAGGTGCAAACCCTGACGGCGGAGCTCCAGACGGCTCAAGATGCCCAAGACCAAGCTGCGTCCCTACACGCTACCCAACTTCAGACCTTGCGGGCCCAAGTCCATGACCAGGCTATGAAGATCCAGGGATGGGAGCACCGTGCGGCCTCTCGGTCGCAGGACCTGCGACTCCTGTTGGCTGATCAGGCGGTCGAGATCCGCGACCTGACCGGACGGCTGGATCGCGCCTCCCGTCAACGAGACTTTATGCGAGATGACAACGACCATCTCCTTAGGGAGATGGCACTCGCCG